AAAAGATACTAAAGAAGTTAATTTAATTTTTATTGTCACACATACCCCGAAGTTGGATTTCTTGAGTTGGTAAGGTCTAATATGGTTGATGACTCACCTCACAATACTTGCCTTCCCTTCATGTTCGCTGAAGCTTATGACCTCCATCTCAGTACTCATAAAGATGATCTTTTATTTATTTCTTTAGCTACCAGAGATTGGGCATTCTAGAATTTGTCTACCCCTTGATCTGGGGTGAGAAAGAATTACTCAGTGTTGCTAAGAGGTGAGAGATGGGCCTGACTTTCTAACACGATTTATTCAAGGTCTACTGCTTTTTGTAGTTTCTGATGCTCAATGTTGTTGTCCTACACTCGCAGATGCCTCCTGTTGAAGCCATTTTCACTGCTTTCAGTACCATGGACCTCTCTTGCAGGATAGCTTCTGGCTAAACTACTTTATGGTGTTCTATTTAGGTTGATTCTAATGGTTTGCCTGTTTGCTGTTCTACCCTATGGTATGCACATGGCAATGCAATATGCAGAAAATTTGCATCTTCTTCCTCTTTCTCTTTTCCCTCCTTTTTTTTCTTGTCGGAGTTAGAGAGGTGGTGGAGGAGTGTAGAAAGTGTTATAGAAAGTGAGTTGGATGATAGTAAAATGGTCAACGAGGAAGGGGGATGGCTGCTTAAGGATTAGATGTAGGCGCTTTCCGAATGTTGAATTTACTAGTTATTCCTATTTGTCCCAATGTGCTAAACGACTCCGCAAAAATAAGAGCTCTGAGCTTCAGTGATGAAATTGACTGTGCGTTGATTTGACAAAATGTGGTCATTAACTGGTTGCCTCCCAAGTCAGTTAGAACTTTTTGTTTGCTGCCTCTCCTTTTTATTTTGATTGGATTTTGACAGAAAGAGTTACTTGGTTAGAAAATTGCTAGAGCATCAGTTGTGTGGGAATTGCTTTAATTTTTCTGAAGTTAACGAACACTCACAAGGAGACGATCAAAGTAGTGCTATATGGGGGTATTAATTATGGAGATGAAGTCTCTGATCGATTGGATGTTTCTTATTTATATTGAATGAACTTGCTGGAAACCCATTGTTTTGTCTAGGTCTCTGGTTTAGACGTTTAGTGTGCTTATAGACAGGATTCATTGTTTTTTGTCGCAGTAATAACTATAAATAAGAGCATTGGAGAGAGATTGTCTACCTTTGGGTTTGTTGGAGTATGCGGAAGATGTTTTCCCTGATTTGTAGACTACAAAAATATAAAGAATCACAACAGAAGTTGAAGGGAGTTTGCAGTGGGATGTCTTTCTCAAACAAGAGTTTGCATCAGGGTATGTTGGAAGCGAAATCTTATATCATGTGAAATATAAACCAGCAAATAAGTGTGAAGCCATCCCTTTGCTAGCCATCTGGAGTTATGGCTCACCCTAGTGCTTGCTTACTCTCTCTTTTCCCCCTACCAGTTCACCATTTCTTTCCAATTTCCTCTCTTGTTTAAGAGTTTCAGGGACTACACTATCAGCCCCTTTCTTGGAAAGATATCAGTAAATCTCTTTGTACATCTTTATCCCTGCTTATTCTTCCACTCTAAATTCTGTTTTTTTTTTCAAGTTCGTCATCCCTGCACCGGGCACCATCAGCATCGTTTCGTTTGTAGTCTTTACATGGTCATAAGCAGAGAGAGGCCCCCTTGGTAATCTATTACTTTTTAGCTCATTTCCTAGTTTTTCTATCCTCTTTTTCACTCCTTCATTAGTCTATATATATTTATCTCTCTCTTCCAAGGTAAAAAAATAAAAAGATTGAACAGAAAAGGGAAAAGGAAAAAAGAAAAGTTCAAAACAAAGGCTAAAATTATGAAAACAGACTAAGCTGTGGATTCTCCAACACAAAATCACAGTCACCTAACAGAAATTTGAGTTCAAAGCGAGGGCAACTGCTTAGGCATATACAAGAAATCCAGACTTAAAACTTGGGTGCAATTTGATGAGCTTTTGCTATTGATATCGGTACAACATACCAGACCATAGTAAAAATGAAAAAGGTGGAGAAATGGCAAATTTCTATGAGTGAATTTATGAAAGATAAAGGGGACTGGCAAGGGCAGAAGTAAGAGAAACAGGAGAGGATGGGTAAGGAGGTCAATTGGCAAGGGTGGAAGTAAGAGAAACAGGAGAAGATGGGTAAGGAGGACCTGATTATTGAGAGCCACAGTCCATATGTCTATCAAAGGAAAGGCCTCATACAAGATTTGTTGGTGTGTGACACCCTTAATTTCTCATATTGGAATGAGTCGGAGGCTCTTTTCTGTGAATATCCTGCAAAAGTGTAAAATATCATCGTCCAAATTTTTAATTCTCTAGTTAAAGCTGTATTTTTCAAAAACTCCCTTTGAAACTGGAATCCCTGCAAGAAGATGTATAGGCATCAAGAAAAGAACATGTTTGGACATAGATTTGGTTGAAGCTTGAAAAAAAATAGTTTTTTAAGATGAAACGGAAAATGATTTTTGGAAGTTGAAATTGTGTTCTGACATGCATTTTACTTGTAAAGAAGTTGAAGTTTTATGAGTAGAAAACTTCAAAACTTGAAAAATAGTCTAAACCACTTTTTGGAACTTGAAAAATTCATGCTCAAAAACTTCCCAAAACTGGTCACCTTTTTTAACCAAACAATGTTTTCAAAATATTTTTGAAAGTGAAAAAAACTTATGACCAAACAGGAGAGGGTAAATTATTCTATTGAATGTTCAATTGTCAATTGGAGGTTTTTGGTTGTACTTAACTAGCAGCGAATTGCTGGCATATGGCTGTTGCATGTGAGGGTCTGGCGAGTATGTTTTTGCATAGTTTTTTTGATAAATGAACAAGTTAGGCCAGAATAGAACTAAGTTCTGGATTTTGGCAAAGGCAGAGCTTCTGAGTTTTATGATTGGAAATGACAATTTTGCTCCGGAGCCTATTTGCTTATGAAGATGATATTTGCCTGTCCAAAAAAAAAAAACCTAGACCTTTTGTTACTGAAGGATTGCATGTATATGTAAACGTTTATTGTTCTCTGGCCAATGAGTTATACGTACATGTTTTCGGTCGTCATGCTCCTTTTCCTACATATCTAGTGCAAAATTAAAGAGAAAAGCTATTATTTAAATTATAAGTTCTAAGTTACAATTGTGAGTCAGTTGATGATGCTGCAGTAAAATTTACAGGTGGATGCAATTCAGAATTGTGGTGGCCAGAAGACGGCTGATGGCAGGCGTTTCCGAAAAGGCGGTGGGATATTATGGAGCATCCTTAAAGTGCGAGATCCAAATGCTTACAAAGAGATAATGAAGAAAGGGCAGGAGTTTGAGGTGGGTTATAATTCTTTAGCGTTTTTCTTACTCATAGTTATTCCCTGTGCATGTGGCAATTTTGTGGCCCAACCTGGAAAGATCACGAGTACCATCATCAGGTGCAGTAAACATGAATATTTTCGTCTATGCTGAAGATTTTGTTCTACCTACTCTCAAATAAAAGAAAAAATAAAGCATGTAACCTTGAAGAAAATAAATAACCTTTCCTTCTCCAAAAAAAAAAGAAAAGAAAAGAAATAGCCTTTAATACCAATCAAAAAAAGAACAAACCTTTAATAAAGACTACATACCTGTTTGTAAGGTTTATTTTCTTACTTGGTAAGTTAAGATGAGATATAGCTTTATATATTGTTTGACTCCACTCTATATTATTTTGTTGTAGTCAAATATTATGAAATTACCAATGTGTCTCTGCTCGTTGCACTACTGTAATGCTCTAATTTTCAAACTGCATATTTGATCATGTTAGTAATTTAAGAAAAATGTTTGAGTGTCAAATGATGATTTCCCTTGTGCTCTAGTATTACTTCCTCGAAATTAAAATGCACAGTTGTTGGGGAAAGCCTCCAGCCCTTGGATAGCCATGGTTATTCTTGTTGCAAGGACTGCATTTATCTTACCTATCAAAAACACTTCTCAGTTTTTGCTATTTCTCGTAATTCTAATGATCTTTCAGTGATAGCATGCTGTATTTATAAACAATTCCATATAATGTAAACCATCAATCTGCTGGTCACTTCTATTACGTATCTATATGCCAGTGTTCATTAAGAGCCTCATTTCAAAAATAATTGCAGAAGCAATTTAAGCAGGCTAAGCTCAAGCAAGAACCGCTTCCAAATAACGAAGCTTCTTTTGAGAGATCTAGCCAGACCACTGTGGGAGACAAAACTACAGCCAATTCTAAAGATGTTTTGCTGCAACAAGTTCCTGTTGAGCAGTCAAAAAGTGGAGCCAAACGTGCATCTGTTCATGACAGAATAAGGGTGCCCATCACGTATGATGATATATTTGAAGGAATTGATGAAGGAAGGGAATCAAGGGATCCATTGGCTTAATACCTTTTGAAAAATCGCTCATATGATATGGTGGAATGAGGCGATCTGAAAGATGTATAAAACTCAATGCGAGTGGCATATGCCGATCAGCTTAGACTAGGGGACTGAAATGAATCAACTTGATTTTTGATAAAGCCTTCTATGGGGTTTCAAGTTGAATTTCACTTGTGAACTCCTAGATCCCGTGGAACTGTTCCCTTTCATTTTGTTCATTCTTATTCAGAGTAAATACATACCTTTGCTGTGGCCCGAAATTGTTCCAAATCAAATTAACATTTTGAAATTTCTTATAAGAATGGAAAGAAGTCGTTGCTTGCTAGCATTATAAGGATTGATTTTGTCTGTAAAATTCTTTTTAATGAAACTTGTGAAATCATGGCTGTAAGTGTTGCCTGGTGCCTGAGACACTTGGGTATTGTTGATAACCAAGTAATAATATGTTGAACAATGCTCAATTCTTTTGTTGGTTCCTCTTTATCCTTATTTATTTCTCAACCTGGAAGCGGGTCTTATCAAATATGTCTATGCACACACTCGCAACTAACAACTCATAAGAGATTATAGCCATATATCTTTGAAGTCTTCCTACATTGGACTCCAAAATATTGATCACAGAATTGAAAATCTGGTTGATTGTTCTTAACCATATTGCTAAATTTCAACAACAGAACCCAAAATTATTGTAGCTCAAGTACAGTGAACTTATGTATAGCTGTGGCTTTTGCAGTCTGGATAAGTGAAGCTTGTGTTTGGCCATAGTTCAAGTACTATTCTGCAGTGATGCACGTTGTTGCAAGAATAGGCAGATTGCAGTGCAATCATCTCTCTTGGTGTTA